CATGCATTGAAGTGGATTGCGAAGTTCGTCTCCGACAATATGACTGAAATGGAAATGAGAATGGGAATGTATTTCTTGATTATTTTTCTCCAAAATAATTTTCAACTACGTATTTAATGAAATCCACAATTTTTTCCACTTTTTAATAAAACATTTATTGAAATAATCATTTTTTCAATTGATAAAATCTTACCAAACAAATTTGTCACTTATATATTTAATTTTTTTCTAAACAAACTTTTCTTTAAAACTGATTCACAGAAACAACGTGTTGTTATTTTTCACTAAAATTAATATTTAAAGATTAGCCACATACAAAAGTAACATATGGTGTTACTTGTCATTAGAAATCTACATTTCACACATTTGTTAAGAGAACTAGCTATAAGGTACGTCATTAAACCCGAAAGAATAGTCGGGGAATAATCTCATTTTTTTGGTAGTACGAAGGGGGATTTGAACAAGTAGTTCGGGATGATTTGTTGCTTATTACCCACGATTTTTCTTCTCTGCAAAATGTATCATTGAGGTTAGCTCAAACGAGCTTATCTTTTAATGACTTCTTGTGATGAGCTCAAACGAGTCACTTTGTCGCTATAGTGTTTAGAAAAAAATGATTACATCAATGTCGTTGAAAATCGAACTTCATGAATAATAAAAATAAGCATGTTGATAATGTATTGAGAAGAGAACAAAACATCAAATAGATACAAAAGAGAAGTTGATTCAGAGTAGACAAGCTGATGGACACACGGTCGGCTTGTACCATGTGCATCATGACGTGGACCCATAAATAATTGGAAAATAATTAAAATTCAAAGAAATAAAACTGTAACAAATGAAAGTCAAGATATTGTCCACCGCCCCTCTTAGATACGTCAATGACTTAGTTTTCAGAAATGGAAAATATGGTGGCGCCGCCCGCAGTCACCGCTGAGGTACAACGCATGCGAATCCACGGCTTGTACCTAATCTTAGACCCACCCGTTCTGTATTGTACCGGACAGAGATACGCAAGATTTTGTTTTGTCCGAAACATGAATTGACGAATATCGACATAATGTTGATGGATAAATTTGTTTAGATATGTCGAATTAGACGTGTTATTAGTGTTAGATTAAAAGAAGTTTTGTAGGGAATCTCGAGCACTGATCTAAGTTATGTTTTGTAATGAAATGATTTAGGATCGATTTGACATAGTTTTTGCTTTCGCTTCTTTTTCTTCTTGTACAAGAGTTTATTGAAGAAATTACCTTAATATGTGTTTGGAAACTAATGTATAAAAAAAAGTTTCTCGAAGAATTTTTAGAGGAAACTACGGCCCCCTAAATTTTGATAAGTCAAAATAAGTTTTTGAGATCATAAGTTGCTTTTGAGCTCGTTTGATTAATTTTATGAATGTGTTTCTTTTAGTTAGAAGAATTTTTAGATGAAATTGGTCAAATGTGACTTTCACTAAAACTCTCTTCGAAATTAATTTTCCAACAAAAATTAAGGTAATGTACTCGTAACTCATTCTATAGGAAGCCAAAAAAAAAAAAAAAGAGTAGTCATGGTTAACACATTATACATTGAGTCAGCTTCCTCTAAATATTCATTTAATTAGATAAATCACTTTTATAAAATTAAGCAAAGCAATTTCTGAGTTTCAAAAACTCATGTTGACTTCTCAAAATCAATGCCAAACACACCTTTAATATGTTTTCGATAATTCCCTTATATTAACCAATTTGTTAAATTTTTAATTAACAAACTCTAAAACAAATCCACACTCTTAGTATTAGCCATCAAATCAACTAGAACAAGTTCTCAATTAGCTGGTTTCAAAATAAATTTAAGATCCGTTTGGTAAGATTTTTGAAAAGTAAATAGCTATTTTAAGACAAAAAAAAAAATTGCTCTTGAATATATTGAATATTTTTCTGAAAGTGTTTCGTCATGCTTTTTTTTTTTTTTATTGATAAATCTGACTTAAAATTACTTTCTCATTAAGTCCTTGTTTGAGTCCATTTTTTCAAAAATTCATTTTGAACCATACATTCTTTAATAATTAATTTTTTTTACTACACATTCTTCAAAAATCACTATTTTAAAATAATTTTTTCCTTCAAAATGGAGCTTAAACAAGGCTAAATTTTTCTATAAGAAACAGAAGCGAAAACAAATGCAAAAGGCCGAGACACTTAAATAACTCAATCATTTAATAACAAAACATAATTCTTTGTAAGTACGATCAAACAACCTCGTCTCCTCGCATTATACTCGTGGGAATGTGAGCCTCACATCCCACTTTCATTACGCAGACATTAACATCAAGAAAAAGCAGAGAGTCCATTAATCATATCCTAATTCTATGTTCATACTAATTACTTAATTAATTTATCAATAATTAATCAATATGTAGGCTAGGAAATCCAACTTATGGAATCTCTTTATGATTGCATCATAGTGGAATCGGATGAACAGAAATTATTCTATGGACAGTTGGGGGCCCACCTTTGGAAGAAGATCAATCAGTAGAGAATAAATTTGACTGCACATGTCCCCAGGTGGGATCCTATGAACTTTATTATGAGGTGGACCACACCAGAAAATTCCACAAAATTTTTCTTCCATAATCTAAGGGATGTGTCTCACAAAATCTAGTGCATGTTAGAAGAGCAAAAATTAAGTGGGGAGTATTCAAATACCCTAATCCTCTTTTAGTCCATAGATCGAACTAGCTAGTTCAGTCCAATTTTGATTTAGGTCCCGTTTGATTTCATAGATTTAAAAATGAAAATAAAAAATATAGTCATTACGGAAACTATACAAGGAATAAAAAGTCAAATATGATGGTTTGATGTAATGTATAATGATCATATTTTTCATTTTTATGGACAAAAAATGAGAATCAAACGGGGACTTAGTTTGATTGTTTTCAAGAAAAATGATTCATATATTATCGACTCCAAATTTAGTTGAAGCTAGCTCGTAGCTACTAATTGGTGATAGTGCATGTTTATTTCTTAGATTATACCAAGTCAAGAATGAATATCTGATTCATCAGTTTGGAACCGTGTCACATCACCGATGTAATTAATTGATACATTATTTTTTAAAATACTATTTCTTTATTTTTCGATCATATGAAAGTTATAAAAGAAAGATCATTTTATTTGTTCAACAGTTTGTGAGTATATAATGGACTATTCAATACTATTCGAACCCACAAATAGTTCTAACCATTTATTATAGAAAAAGAACGAATAAATCGAGCTTTCTCTAACCATGCTTGATTGTACTTCTCACTTTTTGTTTAAATACATTTTTTTTTTTAGATACAGAACACAATACTGAGAAACTGTGTCTCGAAATTTGAACACAACGTAAACGTTTCTCGACCTTTTGGTAAGATTCTCAATGTGGTCCTCATTTACACCCTCCAACATTTGAAATTGAAATATTTTTAGCATATGAACTTTGGGTTTCATAATCTTCTTGGTGGGAGTGCAATTGTTCTCTCTTTTTGTTGCCTGTAATGTTAGGACAACCTTGCACGACAAGAAAGGTACCATAATTTTTATTTCATTTTAAAGTTTTACAAAATTCGCTTTTCAGTGTCATGTTATTTCAATCAAGAAAAAAGAGGACCCCCCAAAACAAAGCTTCATCCTCAAGATTTTTAGGGTTCCATGTTCTTCAAATTTGAAGTTGTTAGAGCCCAAAATTAGAAGAATTATTTGGATTTTGTAATTTTTAAGGAGTTTAAATTGGTAGTTGCCGAATCAAAGTGAGTGGTGTAATGTGACGTGCTTAGCACATTTTATTTTGAATTATCAAGACTTCGATTCTGATCTCAATTCTTGTTGAGAAGTTGTGAAACTAATCATGAACCTAGTTGATTCAAATTTACTAATAATAAGACTTGATTTTTATTTTATTTTATTTTTGTTTAAATTGAGCTTTTATCTAGATTAGGATAAAATACTTAATTACTTATGGATAATTTAATTAATTTCTAAACCAAATAACCTCTTTATTTGTTTGGGGAACTATAAATAGCCATATCATAGGTTGTCGTATAATCATAAGAACAAAAAGATCATAATAAATTCAATTGATCAAAATGTGAGGCAAATGAGTGCCTCATCATTGAGTTAAAAACTGAAATTGTTGTTTTGTATTTATTCGTTGAAATAATTCTCAATCAAGCTACTTCAAACAACATTAAACGTGAAAATTATTGAACTATATACAATTTGGTATATCAAATATCAATTGATTTGACTCAACTAATTTATCAATTGCTTATGGCTCGAACTATTCGGTATCTAATCCCATTCATTTTCCTAGATTTCATCTCTCATTGTTAGTGTCGGTCCACTAGAGAGCTTTTGTCCTTAAATTTTTTTAGGATTCTATGCAGTTCACCACTTCTCCGAAAATTTACGAAAATATGTTAATTGCTAGAAGTTTACAATCAACACTAGTTTCTCTGTGCTATAAGATACGAATTGAATTGTCTAGTTGAATTGTACAAATTGATAAGCAATTTGAAATTACTATTTTTAACTATCCTTAATGGCCAAGGTGATACACGTTTAAGTGGAATAGAGGGAGAAAGGAAAAAATGAAGGGCACGTGGTTAGCGTAGGACGGGACACGTGACCTTGAGAAGGGAATTTATCCTTTGCTTGTGCGAAGCGTACTAGTGGAGCCCATGTTTCTGTCCAATACTATAAAAAGCGGGTCCACACTCGGAATGCGCTTTTATCTTGGACCCAAAAAGTACAGAAGCCGTGATTTCTGACGTAGAGAGAAAATCTGTGAATTTTCGATTCCTTGATCTTCAATCAGAGCCGTTTGATTATGATACAAGTGTCGGATCCTGTATCTCAGGGCCCACGTAAGATATCACCGACGGTGGGAGCAGCTGCACCCGGGAGACCCCACCAGTCATTGCCTTTTTCTTCCTTCTTATTCACAATCCATCCTCCCAACATTGCCATTGCCAACGCCGGACTTCACTCACTAATTTCCTTCTTCTTCCTTTCTACTCAAAGAATTTCTCTTAAAATCTGCTTATAAGTAATTATTATTGCTTTTAAGCAGCGATAAGTTCTGGGTTCTGGATAGTTCTGTGAGCCCACAAATTAATTCAAGGGAAGAAAAGTTGGTTATAAATGATGGCTCTTACTTCTCTGCAAGTTTGCATGGACTCATCTGATTGGTTACAGGTAAGGCTTCCGCTCGATTTTTAAAGATTTCAAGAACCTTTTTATCATTTCTTTCATCAAAATGAAATTTCATTATTTCATGCCTAAGAAACATCCCTGTAGGAGGTGGATGTAGAAAAAACAAGAAAGTTTCATCCAAGAAATCATCAAATGATGTTCATAATATTCATCAATCTTCATCTTCTTCTGTGCTTAACCAACAAAACCCTGCTGGGATTTTGTCTTCTGATGATCATGATCATGATCATAATCCTACTGAACTTCAACTTTCATTCCCTGATTATATGCAGTTTTCACACTTCAACAACAACACTTTCTTGACAAACCCTAGTTTCAATACTCTTGAAAATCCAATTCATGATTTCATGGAGAACAAGTATGATTTCTTGGGAAATGGCGACTTTGGTAATATGATGGGGAATTCTCAAAATTTTCAAGGGATTTGCTCACCGTTTTTGGGTATGAATCTTGATGGGAACATGAGTGGAACAATCTTGGACAATTCTCAGAGGTTAATGTTGCCATATGATCATAATTTGGATCATACTAATCAGGTCGATGAGAAGCCAAATTCGAAGATATTGTCACTTGAATGGCATGATCAACAAGCTTGTTCTGATGCTGGGAAGGAGAATTTTGGTTATCTGGGTGGACTCGGAACATGGACTGGCTTGATGAATGGCTATGGATCTTCTGCAACAAATCATCCGTTAGTCTAGATGCGGCACGTCTGGAACACACTGGACAGTACATCGAACAAAATTTTGATACTTTCTTAATGTTGTCCAGTCGTAAAATTGATCTGTTGTATCCATCATGAGAGATCATTTGCCTCAAATGGTAGGTTAGATTTATCCTACTGAAGGATTGTTTTCTGTTTTCCTTTTTCTGTTGTATGTTTTTTTTTTTTTTTTTTAATTGACTTAACCAGTTTAGTGTGAATGAGTATTGTGGAAGTCTGATTATATATATATGAATGTTTAATCAGTAAAGTGCTTCTTTATCCATCTTTTTAAATTATTTTAATAGTGACATTTAGGTTTAATTTATAAGTCCCACAACATTAGTGCTTATCGAAAGAAGAGGAATTCAAAGATGCAGGATTTGATTTGATTTGATATGGAGGAAGATATTGTTGGACTAAACTGAAATACTACTGTGAAAGAATGTTATTGGTACTTGAATGTACCTTTCATAGTAGTTACCCTGGCCTGTTGGGGCACATGTTGCGATTTATCTCCCTCACAAAATTTTAGAAGCGGTGCGATGGGAACCCTCAAGATTGGGGTTCAAACTTTTTTAAAAATATAATAAAGGGATCAAACCTATTTGAGTGCCTGGCTTTGAGCTTGGCTGAACAGGTTAATCCTAAAGGAATAGTAAGGTCAAAATGGACGAGCAGTCCATGGGATGATCAAATCAAAAGTTCGAGTCAAAATCAGGAGCGACGCGATGGAAACCCTCAAGGTTGGAATTCAACCTTTTTTAAAAATATAATAAAGGGATCAGACCTGTTTGAGTGCCTGGCTTTGAGCTTGACTGAACAGGTTAATCCTAAAGGAATAGTAAGGTCAAAATGGACGAGCAGTCCATGGGATGATCAAATCAAAAGTTCGAGTCAAAACCAGTGGCGGTTCATTCCTGGTCTATCAATTATGGTATTTAAGTCCAACGACCCATGAGGACCAGCCCAATTATCAGAATTTATATTATAGTGAGCTCTACGTGTAAAAGATTTATTACTTTCACAAAAATTTTAACAATATATAATTTGCACATTGATCAACAAGAATATCTAGTGCTTTTTTATCAGTTAAAAAATGAAAGGTTGCCCTTCCCAACCTAAAAATTTACCTTTAAAGATTAATTTTAAACAAACATGAGGAATAATTTTAATTTCACAAATCAGGTGATAATTAACCTTTAATAAATGTAATTAATAAAAATTTAATGAAACCTAATTACGTATTCACCCAATCCCGACTCCATTTCCAATTCATCCCCAACTTGTTTTCTCCCTCTTCTCTTTGTGCCACCACTCTATACCCTCCAAGGCTGCTTGCCACCGAAACCAAGTCAACGTAACCAGTGCCCCGACCACGCTGTTGCCCAAACACCGCCACTAAACTGGGTCATAGTAAGGCGTCATTGCTACTGCGACCAGCGGCGCCTTGCCTCATCGGACGTCGCAACAGTAGCGAGCAGCTGCTAGCGATGCCGCGCCCCTGCTTGCTTTACTATAAGGCTAACGGAAAATTTGGCTCTCTCTCCAAACAAATCGATCTATTGTCCAACCAAAAGGTTTCAGATATAAATTTAGGCGGTTAGGATAGTGAATGGATGGGCGGTGATGGGGAGATTACTGGAGGTAGTGGAGGCTGCTTTGATAGTGGTGGAGGTAACTTCACGCATGGTTTCGAGAATACTGCAAGTGGTGGTAAGCTTACATGTGGTTTGTGGTTGTGAGTGATTGGGTGGTGGAGGTGAGCTCGCGGGTGGTGGAGGAGAGAAAATTGGCGTGGATTTGGTGATGAAGGAGATGGAAACGACATAACTTTGTCAAATTTTTAGTAATGGGTGAAGGATAAAACATAAATCACATATCAACTAAGCCCCCTCAGCGACTTTCTTAAGGAGGAACATCGGATTTATCGACATCCAGTTCGTAAAAAAGAAACAAATTTTTATGATAGCAACTACTTAGCCTGGAATAACAATGAGTAGTAGATAGCGGGTTCATTGATATTTTAGGTATAGTAGATACTCTCACACATACAATTATAGTAGATGCTATCACACATACAATCATACTCAATTCGATTTTTTTATCAGATCTTTGTTTAACCAGAGTTTGGGGACGGTTGTTGGTGTTTTGCACTGTCGATGATTTTCTGGTCTATGGATGATCATGTTGTTGGTGGTCGTGATAAGATGGTGCGTGTTTGGTTCTGGATGGTATTGAGAGTGGTGCTGGTGATGGTAGTAGCGACAATAGGGTGTGATTAACTCTATCTTTAGTGTGACTGTATGTGATTTGATTAACTGTATGTGAATTGATTATATACAGTCACAAATTAGACGAACATGGTTATAGACAGTCAAAATGAAGATAAATTTGGTCATAATTAGTCACAAATGACACAGGTCGGTGAAGGTAGTATTTATGGTCGTGAATTTGGTGCATTGGAGATGATGGTGTTGGTATGCAGTGTGCGTAGATTTGTTTGTGATGACCTTCTATGATCAAGTATGTGTTTATTGTGACCTATTCTGTATTAGTTGTGATTGATTGTGACTTTGTCATGTACCGTCACAATTAAGATTTATCTAGTCATAGACAATTACACTGAAAATAATTTTGGTCACGAGTTAATAACCCAAGTGGTTATTAAACTTTGCAAAAAGTTTACACGGGGTCACTAAATTTTAAAAATCACCCAAATTATCACTAAACTTTGTAAAATATTTTCACGGGATCAATGAACTTTAAAAATTATTTCATTCAGTACTGAACTTTAATCCCGTGGAAATCTTTTACGAAGTTCAGTGATAAATGGAGTGATTTTTAAAGTTCAGTGACCCCGTGTTAACCTTTTGCAAAGTTCAGTGACTCGGTGAAAACTTTTTGCAAAACAGTCACCATTTAGATTATTAACCCTTTTGGCTGACTTAATTATATACATTCACAAATTAGATGATTGCATATACTTTTTTGAAAACAAATTTGGTCACAATTAGTCAAATATAACACAAGTATGTTTTTATTGTGAAAGTTAAGGCTGGGCATGGTCCGATTCGATTCTAACGAGAATCGAATCGAACCCGAAATTTTCGGGTATTTAGTAAATGGAACCGTCGGGTCCAAATTTAATTATGAAACCACTTAGGTTCGATTTTATTCGATTCTCACGTTCTGTATTACAACTATTTTTTTTAATATTTAAAGCTACATTTATTCTACTAATAACAAGTTTAACTTTTATTCTACTAATAACAAGTTTAATCTTAGCTCTTACAAAATAATGTGGTCCAATTTTATGTGTTTTTTACTTCTCTCTTTGCTGAGTTCTTCATAATTTTGATTGTTAAAATTACGTGAAGAAAAAGATAACGAGCTCACAATAATTAAGAAATGTGCTGTCGAGCTTCAATTCGATTTTTCAAAATGGTAGAAACTGCACTATAGTATAATAACATATTTGGGTAAAATTTAGGTCAATTTAATTAAGTTGGTCATAAACTGAAAATTAGAAATAGGAAAATCATATTTTTGGATTTGAACTAAATTAACTAGATAACAAATTTATTTAGAAAAAATAAAATAATCTGACTTATTTAAAAAAAATAAATTTAAAAAATTTGGAAGATTCGGTTCTTATTCAATTCTTCGGTACTTGATCTAGAACCGAATCGAATCCATTAGTTCTCGATTTAGATATCCTTTCGAATATTTAGCTTAAGCAGAACCGCTCAATTCGATTCAATTCGGTTTGGAAGTTTTGTCTAACTTTAGCGAAAATTGTGACTAATTTTGTATTAATTGTGATCGATTGTGATTTAATCACATACTATCACAGTTAATACTGACTTGGTTATAAACATTCACACTGAATACAAATTTAATACAGTTAATCACATCGAATACAAAATTGATCACAATTACTCGCGAACAATACATGTCAGTGACTTGGGTTATATACAATGACTTGAAAATTTTCTAAATGGGTGTGGCAGGGGTGAAGATGATGTAGGGTTAATGGTTTTGTGAGGTGGGATATAATCCATAGTTTTTCATTTTCAGAAATTTTTGGAAAGTCAAGGTGGGGATAGGGTAGGTGGTTCTATGGGGGTAGGTGTGTGATTTCCAGTTTTTATTTCTAGAAATTTTTTGGGACATTGGAGTAGGATATGGTTGGGGTAGGGTAGGATAGGGGTGCATGGGGTGGGGTCTCCAGAAAGGGGTTGGGGTGGGTGTATGGTGGTGGGGCAGCATGCGGTAGAGATAATTAATTTTAATTAATTATAATTTGACAAGTTTGTTAGTATTGAAATGTAATTCTTATATGTAGGAGTTATGTATTATTCTCGAAAAATTAACGTAAAACACTCACGGTTTATGGACCGTTCCAGTCCATCGATTTTGATTATAGTTGGAACTAGATTCGAACCAAATTTTTAGATGGGCCTACCACGTCGCTTAGTTTGAATCGACGTACTTATTTTGACATCCTGACTCTAGGTCCATTTCAGCATAGACATTATTATCCGATATAAGGCATGTCGGGCCAATTAATTTGAGTATTACTTTTCCATGATTTTTTGTTATTTTAAATAAGAAACTAGGAAACTAATATTCCAGTCTCACATACCTAACTGTAGAAGCTAAAATCAGAACACGATTGAGCTCACACAAAAGTTGAATGTTAAGGGGAGAGATGACATCATTCTTTCATTCTTGGATTGAACAGGGAGAGGAGACCTTAAGATAAGTTGCTAAAACAAATGGGGGAAGGAAGGATTGACCTATTCAATAGAATTTCGAAGAAAGAGTGTTAGCATCACCTTCATTTCTGGATCGACTAGCTATAGTATTTCTGTAAATACCTAGAGAATACTGGGCGGAACCACAAGGTGTCATATGGGATCCATTAGCCCTATACAATTTTGGAATTATTATTATTATTATTACTACTACCACTATCGCTACCACTGTTGCTATCGCTGCCACTGCAACTACTACTCTTACTGCTATCGCTACCCTCGTACTGCTACTACCTATTGCTACCACTGCGACTACTACTGCTACTACTAATGCTACTGCTCTTACTATTACTGTTACTACTACCACTCCTACTGCTGCTACTCTTACTACTACTACTACTACTATTACTACTACTATCGCTCCTACTACTTTGGCTCCCGCTACTATTGCCAATGCTACTACTACTGCTACTACTACCGCTGCTTCTACTATTATTGCTACTACTGCTGT